TGGTGAATCAGTTTTATTTGAAGAAAAATTCCACCCTGCTGGTTTTTGAATTATGCAGCTCGTTCCTCTTCTTGTGTTCAAGATGTTTGGGCTTCCTAGTGGCTGGGATTCTCACTAGTGAAGCCCTTCCTTAGGGAGTGAAATTTACCCAGCTACTTGGTTGTGACAGCTGTTTCTCTGGTATCAATAGACACTTTCCTCAGGTATTAATCATGGTTAGACAAGTGCAGTGGCAAAGGAGAAAGAGTGGGGACAGCTCTTCCCTCTGGAACCATCGGCTTGTTGGTTTGTGTATTGGTATTTTTGTTGGGGCTGCTCAGTAGCCTGTGCTTTCAAGAACATCTTTAGGCAGAGGCAATATCCAATCTTTTCTATGGATGATTCATAAATAATGGATGGTAATAGCATTAACTTCAAATGAAGGAAAGAAAGTGAAGTCAAGGCGGACTATACTTTTTTCTCTTTTTAACTAGTTAATGGGCACATATGGTCCAAGGCAATGGACCTTTTTAAGGCCGTGGAGCATTAAAAGACTAGTGGAAAAGGAGCTGCTGGGCCTCTTGTTTTTCATTTTGGGGACAGCTAGAGAACAAGAACGTACCCCTGTGAAGCAGTTAGAAAGAATGTTAGATGATGAGAAGGAGTCATACCAAGGCCCAGTTGCCTGGGACACCTGGCTTCTGCCTGCCCATCCACCTGCCTATTCATCTTTCTGTCCTTCTAGCCCTCCATTCCTTTATTTCATCCCTTTTATTTCTTCCCTCTTTTTTCCATTCTTCCACTCACAGTTATTTTGGAATACTGCCACTGGGCCAGGTACTGTCCCTCCATAGATTTAGTTAATGTCTCATAAAATGAAGGAAACTGTACCTGGGGAATGATATTGGCCAAATATCGAGATATTGTGTGCCTGTACAAATATGTAACAACAAATCTCATCATTGTGTACAACTATAATGCACTAATAAAAAATATGGGGAAAATAATAAATTCTTAAAGACCATCAGGGAAGAAAGAAAATAAAAGGTACTGAGTGCTTTCAAAGATGAAGCTGTTTTTATGAGGCTTCCCCTTGTTTGTCATTGAAGATCAGAGCTATTAAAGAGTGGCAACCAGTACACAGAGCAGAGCATAAACTTAAGGGAGTGGTTTTTAGAACCAGTTTTGAGCATTTTGTCATTATGATCTGGATTTTGTTCCTTTGCTTGATGAAGAGAATTGTCTTGATGTGTTAAATTGTTTTTCCCCCCTCAGACTATTGGGAAGAAATTGCCTCCAGCTACAGTGACTCCAGACCCATCGAAAACAGAAATGGACAGCAGGACAAAGAGTGAGTTTCCCTATTTTAAAAAATCCTTACGTAATCTCCATAGCTTTTTCAAACATGTCAGAAAAAATCCACACAAATGTGTTTGATTAGATTCCCCCATGAGTTAGATTCAGAACTTTGTTTTTTTGTTTTGTTTTGTTTTTTGTTTTCTTTCTAAAACATGTTTTTTTTCCTGCCATATGTGTCTTACCCATGTGCAGAGCTAACATTTATCCATATTTACAGAGTACTTTGCATACTTTAGGTGGCATAAATATTCTAGAAATGGCAGCTCGAGCACTATAGGGATTCACAGACTTTCAGGTCAAAGAACCTTAACCCCTTTTAGCCTAACCACTTAGCCAGAACTACCCAACCTTATCCTCCCACCAGCCTCCTCAACACATTTCTGCTTAAATAATTCTAGATACTTCTGGAATGTCTGCAGGCAAGAGGCTCAAGTCTTTTTGGAAAGATTAAGTGAGTGGATAGAGGGTATTAGCCGTGTTTTGGAACAGTGCTAGCCAATAGCCATATTTATAATTTAAATTTTTCTAGTGGCCACATTAAAAAGAAAAGAAA